GTAACAAGTACCTGTATTATAGAAGTATATAATTCACTTGGGTGGTAACAAGTACCTGTATTATAGAAGAATGTAATTCACTTGGGTGGTAACAAGTACCTGTATTATAGAAGTATGTAATTCACTTGGGTGGTAACAAGTACCTGTATTATAGAAGAATGTAATTCACTTGGGTGGTAACAAGTACCTGTATTATAGAAGTATGTGTATTATAGAAGTATGTAATTCACTTCGGTGGTAACAAGTATAATAAATCACCAAGAGTGAGCATGTTTCGTCACTTGAATCAACAGCCTGCAACAAATCTTTTGCTTAATCGTTAATTTACAACTAGAACCTCAATGTATTCACAATAAGCAAACTTAACTGAAAACTATGATCACTACCACAACACTTTTTAGAATTATTTTATAAATCAAGGTTCTTCCCATAGCTGTACAGAGTCAACATATTTCTGTATTACTTTGTACATCAGTACTGTATCTACAGCTTTATGGAGTAAACACCTTATGTGTTATTTTATACATAAATTTGTATCTACAGTTTTACCTCCCAGAGGCACAGCTGTATGTCAGCGGACTTACAACACTAGAATCCGGGTTTCGATACCCGTGGTGGGCAGAGCACAGATAGCCCATTGTGTAGCTTTGTGCTTAATTACAAACAAACAATCTACAGTTGTACTGAGTAAACACGTTCTGTGTTACTTAGCATACCAGTACTGTATCTATAGTTTTCTAAGTGAACAGTTTCTGCATTGTTTTATACACCAGTATTTTATCTACAGTTTTACTAAGTGAACACGGTCCTGCATTGTTTTATACACCAGTATTTTATCTACAGTTTCACTAAGTGAACAGTTTATGTTATTTTATACACCAGTACCGTATTCACAGTTTTATTAAGTGAGCAGTTTATATGTTATTTATACACCAGTATTATATCTACAGTTTTACTAAGTGAACACGGTCCTGCATTATTTTATACACCAGTATTATATTTACATTTGTACTGATTAGTCATATTCCTATGATTATTATCATATTCGTTATTACTGTATTTGTTATAAGACAATAATGTTAGGTCTATTATGTTTCTAAGCACAACATTATTTTTACAGTGCCTTAGGTTTTTTCCAAGAAGAATAGCATATAATTGTATTTCAAGCACTGTATCTGCCATATCCTTTATCGACGACGCGTTTCGCTCAATACCAGAACTCATCAGATTGGCTAGATTACAACAAACGTAGTAATAGTTTGAAAGTTATTTATATAAGCCATTTGATAGAATGATGTTTATGGTGTGTACAGCTCCAAGCTGGCGAAGCATGACTATAATAAATTATATTTGTCGTAAGACAGTAGCACAGTATTTTTAAATACCACATTCCATATTCGGTCAGACCAACCTGAACATAATAAAGCGTAGTGATCGGACTAAGAAAATTCAGTTACTTTTATGACTAATGTTATATCTTAAACTGTACTTAACCTGAGTAACTGAGTAACTTAAACTGAGTAAACACATGTTATTTTATAGAACCAATATTTCACCTACACAATACTGACTAAACACATTCTAGTGTTAATTTTTACACAAATATTCTATATATAAGTGTATTATATGAACATGTTTCTGTGCTATTTTATAGAATCAATATTTCACCTACAGTTTATTGACTAAACACATTTCTATTTTATGAACAAAATTATATCTACAATTGTATAGACCAAGATTTTTACTATGGGTGTATTGAACAAACACATTTCATTAATATTTTGTGCACCAACATTCTAGCTACAGTTGTAGTAAGTGATTGTTGCTTTATACCCCAACATTTTAGCTACAATATAGTGAATGAGCATTTCATTGTTATTTTATACACCAACATTCTAGCTCCAGTTGTGATGGGTGAATTTCTTTGTTATTTTATACACCAACATTCTAGCTCCAGTTGTGATGAGTGAATTTCTTTGTTATTTTATACACCAAAAATTTTGCTACAGTTGTAACGAATGAACATTTTATTGTTATTTTATAAACCAACATTCTTGCTACAGTTGTAGTGAATGAACATTTCATTGTTATTTTATTTATAGCTCAACATTCTATTTACGTATTACTGAGTAAACACATTTCTCCAATATTTCATGCACCAAAATTCTTTCTACGTTTTTGTGTGTGTAAACACATTTCTGCGTGTGTGTGTGTTTTTTATAGTCAAACGTTTTATCTACAACTGTTCTGAGTAAAAAAACAAAACACATCCGCTTTTTCACACATTTTGAGAACGACGTTGTTTCGTCAGGAGGAACACTAGAAATTTTTGTTTTGACTATTTTCTGAGGTATCTTATGTATTTTGTCTAATGGATTTAAAGCTATGTTCACGACGTTGAACGTCTTCCACAATTATAGACTTTCTAAAAGTTCTAAGTTTTTATCTATTCCTTTCCTCCGGTTTATCAAAAAAATGTCAAACATATATATGTGTTTTTAAACCTCTTTAAGTATGTATATTTTATACACTGAGGCAGTAGTGCCCGTTTAGTATGTACGTTTTTATCTTATGGCTATTCTTACGGGGAGGGTTACCAGTCACATTTAACATCTGACAAGTGGTTCCCTAAATATGTGTAATCCACACAGGTTCACCTCTTATTCATAGCGACACTAGAATAATCTTTATTTATTTTTCGTAACTTCACCACACATGTTTCTGTCTACCAAATATAGCGTTGCTGTCTGTACTGTGGCTTCAAGATCACATGTAAATATGTAAATATGTTCTATAGTCCTAATAACCTGAAACTGCATTTAAGAAATATGAGACTGAAGATAGAACATAGAAGTTATTTTGTATTTAAGATGAACCAATCTTCTCTTCAATAAAGATTTCTCAGTCTTCTATAATCGTGCTTTTTTCTTTCTTCAAATGTATCATCGCTTACACAATGAGTCTGTTGCCGAAAATTGTGTCTCCTTAAAAAAAACACAGTAGCAACGTTTAATGCCAAAAATAGTGGGATAAACAGTGAGTACATCTTAGAAACATTTTTATCTTCCTCTTCATGAGTACTTGCTTTTACGTCACAGAACTAAGCAGCCAATAAGAAATTAGAAATGCGAAGGTTAAACACATATCGGTTTCTGAGCATGCGCAATGCCTTTAGAGTTGCGTATTACGCTATTTCACCAGATGTGATTCACAAGGGGGGGAGGGGAGTTAGAGCTGAGTCTATATGTAATTTTTAGGCTATGGTAAGTGACGTCATATGCGATTCTCCCACGTAAGTATTCTATATATATGTGTATTCGTTCAGCGGCATTTTATACTCAGTTCTGCAACGACGTGTAAGCGAAGAATTCGTTTAGACTCAAGCTATCTATTGTTATTGGAAAACGTTCTGCTAAGCCTGCAAAAGTTGGAACATCCACGTAATTTTATCATTAGCAATATTAAACAATGGTGAGTAAAAGTTTTTGTAATTTGTTTTGTCTTACACCTAATTTATTTCCTTTCAAATTATTCGTTAAACTTTGTACTATTTCCATCTGTGCGTAGAATTATTTTAAAAATAAGGTATTTTATAAATAAAGTTTGCTTTACAAAATTCTTTATAATAATCGCTACCTAGAATAATATTGTGATCCCATAGGGTTAATTCCGCATACAAAATGAGCTTTCTTGGTTATCTCTAAGTTAAATATACTCCAGAACCGAACTAAATAATTATTCAATACTTTTAGCCCGTAAAATCTGTTTCTGAAGTACTTTTTTTCATGTTCAAGTTACATATATGTTACAAAAATACTAATCTTATACATGAAACGTCTAGTTCCCCTACAGAACTTAAAATTTTCGACAAAACTTACGACTGTAAAAACTTCATGATTCAACTAAAAATCGCTGCGCTACCAAAAAGTTGGTTAATTATTGGATTATCGAAATAACTTACCTAGAATGTTGGCTAATTATTGGCAAACTTGCCTAAAAAGCTTGTTAATTATTGGGTTAACGAAATAACTTACCTAGAATGTTGGCTAATTATTGACAAACTTGCCTAAAAAGCTTGTTAATTATTGGGCTAACGAAATAACTTACTTAGGAAGTAAACTAATTATTGGCAAACTTGCCCAGAAAGCTTGTTAATTATGTACAATTTGATAACTTACCTAGTAAGCTGGATAATTATTTGATCTACTGGATAGGAAAGGGGGGTTATTTATAGGACATTCACATAATTGTCTAGAAAATTTGTTAATTATTGACGATTGGATATTTGATTGACATAGGAAGCTGGCTATTCATTGAAAGACCAGAAAACTTGCCTGGAAAGCTGGTTGTTATTACACGACCAAATTAATTATCTAAACAACTGGTTGACTATTGGAGATCGTTCACATGTTTACATATATTAGGTTTCTGTGTCCGTCAATATTATGTTTCACAATAAAAAAACTTAGTTTATTGTATAGTTTTTGTCAAAAAGAAACCTCAGTATTTCTCCTTTATTCTATTTCACAGATGACCAGCTCAGAAAGAAAACTCCCCATCCTCAAAACAGACTCCCACATTATCGATCAGGAATTCAGCTCCATCCGAGAGCGTTTTGATGACGAGATGAAACGGATGGAGGAGGAGATGACCAAGTTCCGGTCACAACTGCTGGACCGTGAACGCGATTCTTTCACTAGTACCAGCCAAACTCAACGTACTAGCACCATGCATACATCAAAGACATCCAACGAGGGCACCACGCATAAGTCTGAACTACGAACCTGGTTGGACGGGCTCAAATCTCCTCTTATTCAAGAAGGTGATGAGGGTAAAGAATTGAAGTTGCGATTTGACGTATCTGAGTACACCCCTGAGGAAATCGTGGTAAAGACTGTGGACAACCGCCTTCAGGTAGGCTACTAGACCCCAATTCTAGTATAAGAACCCAGTTTTATACCTGGCTCCAGCAGGTTCTGGAAAACAGCCCCATCACTTAAGCATTATTGATATTAACTTTCGATCAGAGGAACCTACCTACTAGCTATGAGTATAGATAATAAAATAAAATTTTCTTATATTTTTACTTATAAGGTTATACTACATTGTTAACGATCTTTTCGGCCGTAAACCCAATAATAACTGATGAGGTTCGGCTAACTTAGGAGATTTAGGTTAACCCTAAATCCATATACTGAACTATAAATGCAAAATACATTATACATATTGAAAATATAATAAAATGAAACATAGTAAAAATAGATATATTAATCATTCTAACCACTACTTCGAATGAAAGTAACATTGAAGAAACAACAGAGTATACCTTACTTCTGAAAGACATGATCACAATGGAGAAATTATGGACCATAGTTCTGTTGAATTATCTTTAGTTGTTTGTTGTTAAGCACAAGCTACACAATAGGTTATCTGTGCTGTTCCCACCACGGATATCGAAGCCCAGTTTTTAGTGTTATGAGCCTTCAGACTTACCGCTGAGACAATGGGGAGTATTATTTTTAGATATAAACTTTATTACACTGTGATTCATATAGGTGAGTAAAAAGGACATCAGTGATTGGCAAATTAACACGTTGAAAGGCAAAAGATAATTTATTTTTTTGGTCTGCTTTAAAAAATTATAGGTTATGATGAAATACTTAAATATAATTGCTTTTAGTATACGTGATTACATTGACTTTTGATTAAGACGTATTACTTTAGATACAGTGTAAATAAGCGTATTGATTGGAATATATGTTCATAGTAACAAAGAATTTTTTCTATCGTTGCTACGCTTGGGTTGCCTAGTGGACCTGTGAGTAACAACAACAAAACTAGAAACACTGGATACAATAGTGACGTCAGTTGTAGTTGCCCTGTAAAGTCCGACCGGTCAGTATTAGTCTTACAACTGAAACTTGTTTGTTTATTTTGACATAAAACTTTATACTGTTTCGTTGCGAAATAGAGTTTGGAACTGTACAACTAGAAGAACATTCGAAGGTTGTCATAGAAACTAATAATCGTTATTAACATTGTCACGAAAACGCGTAATTGTTGTTAAAACCCATCAACGAGCCACACGCAGCTCCGTCTGAAAGTAATACGTTCCAGCTAGCTGGCATGCTTAAGAGTAGAAACGGAATGAGTAAGAATAGATTATGGCCGGTTTTAACAAGCTCACGTTCCTTTCAAGAACATTCTGTCAGTTAAAGCAGAAAGAAATGGAGATGTAGAACGAATGATGGGCTCTCCAAGATAAAAGGCAGTGAAACAATTCTTACTTCCTTTAACTGACTAAGTTATCATATTTTACATTTAAAATCAACATAGACAGTATCTGTTATCCTCTAATGTACAGTACATTGACCCTTAAGTAAATATCGTATCTTAAGATGCTTGTTTGTAATTAAGCACAAAGCTTCACAATGGGCTATCTGTGCTCTGCCCACCACGGGTATCG